TGGTTTGGTAGATATTACGCAATCATCCTCCATTTTGTGATCTGATGTGAGCAGCCAATCAGTTGAAAGGGGAGTTTCCTTGGGGGTGTGGCCTGCATCCAATATATATATATAGATGTTCTGATAAAGCACTCTCTCTCTGGATCCTATAACCAACTTGTCATTCTCTGACCTCCAGTTCTTGGGATATGAGCCAGCAGCCTGCTGTGTGACCTGCCAGCTTTGGGTTTGTCAGCCCCTGCAATCATGTGAGTCAGGAGAAACCTCCAGCCTGACATCTGAGCTATGGATTTGGGACTTGCCAGCCTCCACAACTACGTGAGCCATATCCTTGAAATAAATCTGTATCTAAATATATATATGTATACACATATATGGAGCCCTGCCGGCGCAGTGGTTAAGAATCCACCAGTTGCTCCTTGAAAACCCTATGGGGAAGTTCTACTCTGTCCTATAGGGTTGCTGTGAGTTGGAATTGTCTTGACAGCAATGGGTTTTTTTTTTTTTTTTGATACACACACACATATATATGTGTATATCAATGAAAGGGAGAAATGCACCCTCCTTCTGTTATATATATACATACATACAGATATACATACACACACACATATATATAAATAGACACTTCACTGGTTTTGCTCTTCTAGAGAACCCAGCCTAAGACACTACATATAGACTTACCTTACTCTTTTTACTGACTAAATAATATTCAATTGTATGAAAGAACCGAATTCATTCCTAATCTATCGTAGCATTTTTTTCTTTTTTTAAACTTAGCTTGGCCTTGGCCTCTGAATCTTTCTCAATCTATTTTAGCTATGATGCTGAACAGGTTTCAGCAGAGCTTCCAGACTAAGACAGACTAAGAAGAAGGGCCTGGTGATATACTTCTGAAAATAGGACAATGAAAACCTTATGGATCACAACAGTCTTATCCCATTGTGCGTGGAGTAGCCAACAGTTGAGGTCAACTCAACAGCAGCTAACAACAACATCAATGAAAGGGAGAATGTACCCTCCTTCCGTTAGCAGATTTTGCTGATTGCAAAGTGTGTGCAAAGCTCGGCACTAGGTGCTTGCCGGATACAGTAAAGAAGTTAGCCCTCAAGGAACTTCCTGTCTATAAAGGAAGATAAAACGTGTGTCAAATAAGAGCAATCCAACTAGGATATCACAGAGAGGTAGAGGTAGGATGTTTTGGTTACCCAGAAAAGGGAGCAATTATTTCCAGGTACTTTTTAGGTGGGGTTGCTCTTTGGGGGTAGAGGAAATGGTTGGGGTGGACACAGTGAGGGGAGAGCACTGCCTCAGGGCCTGCTGTCTATTCAGAGGGTAATTGTGATGACAGAGCTGTGGCCAAATGCTCCCTGCTGCTGAGGGTAAAGCTGTGCTCCCACTGGTACTATCAGGCCTGCTCCAGTGTCTGCCGGAGCAGAGCACCCTGGGCCCTGGGAGCTGGCCTTCATGCACCAGGCTGCCTGCTGCCCACCTGGCTATAGTCAGGCTCATTGTGGCTGTGACACGGGAAAAGAGGTCTTGCTCCCCCATGCACCCATGGGGAGAGCACACACAGACCCACCCTCACCTTCATGCTCCCTGAATTCTCCCTTTTACACATAAAGCTATTTTCTGGTTCTCCAGTCCCCACCACATACCTCTCCTGTTTTTGTCATCTCTGTTGCGGTCTGAGAATCTGGTCCCAAATACCTTATTCTCTTCCCTCCCTTCCCAGTATGCAAAGGGATGGCTGTGTGACACTTGGTTTGGGTCTCCTCAGACCTCAGAGAGTTGACAGACCCATAGCTACAGAGATGGGAAAGCTACAGGTCTGGAGGGTGAGGGTGAGGAGGGGATAGGCAGAAGGTGCTGAAGCCTGGGTTGCTCCCTAGTGAGGCTCACCACCTCAGACAGGTTCACCTCAACCTCAGGGGACAACAGAAACTACACTTCAATCCTCTTTTCCAATGAACAAGAGATCTTCCTTGGACAGGTACTCCAACTGAGGCAGTGGGATACCAGGCAATATGGTGGAGGGGATTTGTTAATGTGTAAGCAGGAGGGGTGAGGACGCTAGTAGATTTTGCTGTTGAAAATGGACATTCTGTGTGTTAAAAATGATGACTGAGGCTGAAGCAACAGGGAACACTCACTCTTAAATCCATGCCCAGCTGCCCCCTCCCCAGACGAAGAACAGAGGACTCTGGGATTTCTATTTCAAATTCCTCATTTATTTCTGACATTCACTTGGTTGCAACTCCAAATTATCAAAGATGCAGGACAAGAAGAGAAATCTGCAGCAGAAGTGAAGTGGAGGTAGAGACAAGATGGCGGAGGGGATTGCGTGCTCCACAGTCCTGCCTCTTTCTCTTCCTGTTTAGGGTGCAGTTTGAGAAAGGTGTACAAATTGTGTCCCTTAGTACAGACTCCATAGCTAAAAAAGTACAGTGCAGTTGAGTGGGGTGAGCTTTCCTCTCCACAGGTTAGGCCTCCACTGCTAGGGAGGCGGGCAGGCGATCGTGAGCCTGGTTCGGAGCCTGTGCCCTGAGGCAGGATGGGGCTGTATGGGGGAGAGCCAGCCCACCATCTCTTCTATGCCCCAAACCCAGATTTTATTTGTGGGTTGACAGGATTTACGCTGCAAAAGCTATACGTGGAGACGGGATAGCACAGGATGATTATACTCAGGGACCCTCATAGGTCAGGGACAAGAGGCATCTGATAGGTAACTGGGTTGTCTTGATTTTTCCAAAGACGGGCACATAAGATGACGTTGTTGTTTTTGATGAGGAGGGATGTGGCTGCTGTGGTTCACTGGCTGTGGAATTCGAGGGGAGCAAGACAAAGGACTGGCCATCAGTCAGGAAGGGCAAGGACTGCCAGGCCCAGCAGCTCATGTCAAGGAGCCACACTAGGCCCAGTGAGGGCTGGTGGTGGGATGGGGTGTGTGAAAGCTGCTGTCTGGTCTCGGATTTCACTGCCTCCTTGGACAAGTGTTACCATCTGAGTTAACTCAGTAGGAGGGGCAGAAAAATATGTTTGCTTTCACTGACAGTTAAAATTATTTTGCCTGCTAATCTTGTATTTTACTGTAGTCTTTCACTCCTCAACTAACATCCCTACACACAGGACCAGACAGTTGGCAAGTATATCCAGTCCCTACCAGGATTAGGGCAAGAGAGAATGGCTGGGCCCAAGGATCTTTCAGGAAGTCATGTCTTTGTGGAGCACTAAAGGGCCCTTATACAGTCCATCTGGACAAACCTCATTTCACTGAGAAAATGGAGTCTCAGAGAGGATAAGTGACTGGTCCTAGAGCTAGTGACCGAAATGTGACCACAGCCCAGGTCCTGACTCTCAACCCCACATTAAGTGAGCCTTAATTAAAGACTGTGATGCAGTGTCGAAGGCCCTGAACAGAGTGAAGTAAAAGGTGTGAATTCCCTTCTCCCTCCCTACTCCCCCAAATGCTCCCTGCCCTTTGTTAAATAAAAAGTAGAGATTCCAGCAGAAGAGGTAGCTCCTTCCCTGCCTGGTCCCCAGCAGCATTCGGACTCAGGAGTGGGTGGGAGTGTTGGGTATATCCTTAGAAGTGTGGGGGCGGGGGCGGGGGGCAGCAATCCCTTACTGCAGAGGCATCTGGAAAACTCATTAGGTGCATTTACTCAAAAAAGCCAAGGCCACTGCTGAGTTATTAAGTGGGAGACAGGAACTGGACTTGCGGCTATAGCAAGGCAGTGATAAGTGCCCGTTTCCAGGAGGGAGGTGTGTGTGTGTGTGTGTGTGTGTGTGTGTGTGAGGGAGGTGTGTGTGTGTGTGTGTGTGTGTGTGTGTGTGTGTAGAAAGCCTGGCCTTTAGTGGGGCTTATTTGGCTTCAACAGCTGCAGCAACGCCCCATGGAGCTTCTGGGTTCTTCCTGTACCAGGCAGCTGGTTGCTATAGGAATTAGCCACCTTAATCACTTTTTGGTTCGTGCTGATTGCAGGCCAGATTTTTCTTTCTAGTTGGTACATCTGAGACCCTTCTACTTTGCAGCCCTTGAAGGTGGCAAAGTCCCCAGTGTCTGCTGGTGTTGGCTCGTGTGTGTGTGTGTGTGTGTGCGCGCGCGCGCATGTGTGCACACACACCTGAGAAAACGCACACACCTTCACAGGTCTGCATCCTGCACACTGCTTGGTGTGGTGCGTCCAAGGGACAATCAGCTAGATCTCAATTGCTACGCTACTTAAACTCTGGTAACAAAACTTGAAAAAGGTTCTCCAGGAGGGGGCAGCTGGTTCCTAAGGCAGAGAAAGAGGACTTTGGGGAGACAAGGTTAGACAGTCAATCTATGGTGCAGTTCCCACAAATAACCTTATGCCATGGCCTTTAAAGTCAACTTGACATGTTCCCTGAGGATGTGAGCAGATAAAGATGTGGCGGGTCGAGAATCAATATCCTAATGGCACAGCTACAGTGACTGCAGCATCTGTGATAACCAAAGTACAAAACAACTAGATTGGGAATTAGCTCTTGAATCTGTTTTAGCAAGAAAGCCCTGAAGAGGTCCCTTTAACATACCTTCCCTTCCTTTCTCAGATTCTGCTTGCCCTTTATCCACCTTTCTTCTAGGCATGGCCATTTAATCTCCCAAGGACTCTGGAATCATCTAGAACCCCTGCTTAGCTTTCCCTGATGCTGCTCTTCTCCTGGTCATGTAAAGCTGGGAGAGGGGGTGTGGTGGTGCTGGGGTTGGCCAGAGGAATCTCCCAACAGATAAAGCGGCAAAGGTGCAAATTTAACCTATCAGGCCCTCACATCCAGGCCACTTGGTTGGAGCCAGGCCCCACCTTGGTTCTCAACGCACTCAGTACCTTGAATCTTGGTGAACCCTGTGGGGCAAGAAAAGCCAAAGGAACCAGAGAGTCCTTGTGGGGCTGTTGTGGGGTGATCCACCACCCATATTGCTCCTGCTGGGGCAGCAGCATTGGTGGTGTGTGTGGCGGGGGGGGTGAATGGGGTTACACGTCTGTACTAATAGCCCTTGGATTGGTGAAAGCCTCGTGCCCAGAGCCTGGCCAGGTCACCGGGTAACTCTGGGGCACTGCCATTTTGAGTGGCAGGGGTCCCCCCTCCTTGTAGTACATGGGAGAGAAGGAGAGCCTCTCGCCTCCTCCCCCGTTGGGCACCATGTCAGCCGTCCGTATGTAAAAGGGGGAGCTGTATGGGGTGCAGGTGGTGCAGTGGCTGCCTGCCACCCCACATGGCTGGCTGCAGGGCTCGCTGGTGCCAGCAAGAGGTGCCAGGCTGCCTCGGCCGTCCAGGGCTTGGGAGCTGCAGGCATTGCAGGTGGGGCCTCTGGGGTATGTGGAGAGGTTGTGTTCCTCCTCCTCCTCCTCATCTGCATCCTCGGCTCCACTCTTCTTGCAGCAGTAATACTGGGGGGAGAGGGGAGAGGGATGCCTGAGAGGGGGTGATGCTCCCCTGGCCCCAGAGTGCTCCTGAGTGTGACAGGTCCCAACATCTCCCGGCTCCACTGAGTAGCCTGCTGGTGCCGGGGATAACATAGAACAGCAGAGGCCCACCTTCTGTAAGAATATATTCCTAGATTTGCAAGACCAGTAAACCCACTGCCACTGAATCAGTTCCAACTTATGGTGACCCCATGTGTGCAGAATAGAACTGCGCTCCATAGCGTTTTCAAGTCTGTGACTTCTGGAAGCAGATCGCCAGCCCTTTCTCCCAAGGTGCCTCTGGCTAGTTTCAAATTGCCAACCTTTTGGTTAGTAGTTGAGTGCTTAACCATTTGCACCACCCAGGGACTCCCTGCAAGACCAGTACTTCTTTCCTTTTTCCTTCCCCTTACTTCCCAGCGTATTAACTCTAGGCTATGGTAGAGGGAGGCTAGGAGGGAGGGACTTACAAATCATAATGCGGATAGGACTGGGGGCTGCTGGGAGCAGCTTTCAGAGTGTCCCTGGATGATGACACCACTCCTGAAACCTCAGAGGTGCAGGAGACACAACGCGATGACGCAGGAGACACAGCATGACTCAGTATCTTCTATGCACACTTTCTTTGGGTGCCCTGAAGTGTGCAGAGTGTGGGGGGCATGGCTCCCCTCTGACTACCTCAACTCACAGCCTCCCTGACTTACGCCTCCCACTTTCTATGACTTTGGGCTTTGCTGCCACCAAAGTGGCCCTCCAATTTCTGCCCCCATAATGGGGAAGTGGTCTACTGGTGGCCTTGGTGGCCTTTGGCTGTGGGCCAGGGGACTGACCTGGAGCCGACAGTAGCACAGGACAGCGATGATGCAGAGCAGGATCACCGTAGCTAGGATTCCGCCAGTGATCACAACCGTTCCCGCTGTCATCCGCCCGATGCCCCATCAAACTCTGCAAAGCACGTGTGCGAGCGGTGAGGAGCAGCAAGGCTACCTACCAACTGGCATGGGGCGGAGCCCTCTAGTAATTCTCTGCACAGCTGGAGGCAGAGGGCACCGAAGCAGGGAGGGCCGTGAGCACTAGGCTCTGGGGGCTTTGAGGACTGAGGGTGGGCTGTCCCCTGGGGCCTGGGCCAGCCTAAGGGGGAGGGGGTGCTTGGGGCTGCAGGAGGAAAGAGAGGAGGCAGAGTGCCAACTGCAAGTGTAATTCTGCAACCCTGTTTCTGTACAGTTCCAAAAGGTTCTTGCCGTCTTTTTCCTTTCATCCACTTCTCCCCTTTTCTCTCTCCTTACACCCTTCTTAATCCCCTTATGGTTTCAAGACCCAGAGAGTAACAGCTTCTGTTTATGGAGGGCTGAGTCTGTGCCAGGCACTGCATTATACCCTCTCCTGTATTATCCATTTAATCCTCACAATAACCTTTAAAAAAAAAAAAAAAAAAAA